CCTGCTTAGCAAATACAGGGTGTCCTCACTCATTAGTGGAAGCTGTAAGACTCAGTGGAGATGTAGAGAAAGCAATGGAGAATACTAGATAGAAGCTGGATGGGGTGATGGGGAGAAATTGGTGAAGACACCAGCCTGCATGTAAACAAGTGGAATAGGTCCAGACCAGTGTACCACAGAAGAGTGAAAAACATCAGTGACAATTTCATATATGCTTGCAGAACAGTAGAACGAGTTTCAGAAGTGCACAGCTTAACATAATGTTAAATATTAAAGGTGGTGAATATGTTTATATCCTTGATTTGATGGTTTTCTCTCACAGGTCTTCTTTATTCTGTAAAATGGGGGGTGGTAGTGAGTGTTACTGTCAGTGAGGTCTAAAGTTCTCTCTTTACTTGCCATTTGAGGACTCCAGGACAAGTGAATGGTAATAATTTCAAAAAATAATTATTTATTTTATTTTATGTTACTATTATTATTAATTTGACGAGAGAGAGAAAAAAGGCGAGAGTGGGAAAGCAAGCCACCAGGTCTGGGACTCCAACCGTGGTTGGCCATGTGGGAGTCTAGCACCTTAACCATTGCGCCACCTGCCAGCCCCCCTTGATTTGATCATTATGCACTGTATCTATGCTTTAAAAAGCCATACTATATCCCACAAAGATGTACAATAATTATATGCATCTAAAAGAAACCATTAAGCATTTCAGTTTGAAAAACTTAGTACCAGAGAGGTCAATTGACTCACTGTAGGGTCACATTGCTGGCTACTTAGCAAGTTCCAAGCACCTGAGTGAAGTTAGGTACAAGGACAATTTCCTCGGGAAAATGACTGTGGGGTGGTAGTATAAGGGAGCGGCATGACGCTGCTGAAGTGGAGGCACTCTGTGGTTAGTGGGATATACCAACATGGTGAGGATTCCTAGAAAGGAAATCAAGTCCCAAAATAGCCAACATTCCGTATACCTTTAGAGCTGGGGGATTGACTGAATGCTTCCTGGCAAGCCTGTCATCGGTTTGTAGACTGGTGGTCATCCTAACTGTGTTTAAAAGGCTGTCCGATGCCTGGTGTTTTAAATTTGATGGGTCACATCTAGGGATGAAAGTGTCTCGAAAAAAAGCAAAGAAAGTCTGCTTTACTTACCCCGCTGTTGAGTTGGAAACACCAATATGACATGGGAAGTTGGAGTGAGTAGGCTCAATACCCAATGCAGGGATAGCTGCAAACCCACTTCTTTGTTTCACACTCACAAAAGAACTAGAGATGCAGACACAAAGAACTAGAGAGGTGGACACAAAAAGGGATAGCAAAGCAGAGTTTACTGAAGGAGAGAACAGCTCTTAGGCATGAAGGTGTCCTGGAAAATGGGTCACTGAAGAGGAATTGAGGTGAGGGGTTTTTATCTTGGTCAGTAGGGGGTTTGTTCAGTTTGGGCTCATGCTCAGGAAGAGCTTGTGCATGCATCCCCCTCATTATGGGACTCACATGTTAGATGGGTCTGGTTATTCTCCTAATTTTGGAGTGGATACAAAGGTCAGGAGACTCTTTGTCTAAAAGCTTTGGGCCAGAAAAAGACCATTATCTTCTTCCTAAAATGTGGTGAGACCTGGAAGAAGCCTTAGTTGCTGTATTTGCTTTAGGTCAATCATTGAGTCACTGCTGCAAGCCAGTTCTTGCGAGCTAGCGGTTTAGTGAAGGCTGAGCTGCGGCTGAGCCATTTTGTCTCCATCTTAATGTTTAGCCATTTTGTGATTACATTTTGGGCCTACACCTTAACTGTATTCTTAGGTCCTTGTCTCTGACCTCCCTGTGAGAGGCTGGGGTTCTACTTGGGAGAACCAAGATAGTTCATGTCTCACTGGCCTCTGTGACATTTCTTGTAATTCTCACTGGACCGTTCACAGGAAGGATGTCATCCTCTTAGGATTCAGGGGAACCCAAACCAGTTTCCCCTCACAAAATGATTGGAAATCTCTGATCTCAAGGCTGGTTGGTTATTCAAGAAATGTTTAAAATACAGAATAATGCACATAATGATGGTCCAGGTTCCAGCCACCCAGAATTAATGAGGGCTAGCATCGTTCCAGGGTATTTTGAGAACACCTTTTCCTTTAGAATGGCTCAGGCATCATAAGCACAGGCTGAATCTACTCTTTTGTTTGGCCAGGTTTTTCTCAAATTAGAATGCTGAGGCCAGCCCTGTGCTGTGGCCTCATGACTAAGGGAGCTGTATCCCGTTTGGCCAACTGTGAGTTTGAGTCCTGACCTTAGCAGCTTGAAAAAACAAAATGACATTGAACCAGGACAGAAAAAAAAAATAATAAAAATATGTATATATTTTAAAATGCAGATGTACATGGACTATATGATAGATTTTGACAAATGCCTATTATGTTTTATTTTACTTATTTTTTCAGAGAGAGATTTTTGCTTTAGGGTGTGTGTGCTCACTGGGGAGACAGAGAGACAAAGCAAGAAATCACTCCCCAGGGGTATGGCCACACCGCTAACCACTCTCCTCCATTGTCCTTTTGGGATGTTGGGCAAGCACGCACATGCACCCAGCATGAGTTTTAAGCCATTAGGTCCAGGCCTCAAGTGCAGTCAACTACGTGGGAGTCCAGCAACGTAACTATTAACGAACGCCATCTGCTGGTCCCGCCTATCATGTTTTAAATTGTAGTTGCAATTAGAACTATATAAATAAGGCATTTCAATTGAAATCTTTTTTGTGTCACTTCCTTTTAAAACAGGAAATAGCCTGGTGATTTGTTGCTATTTTCTGGCAGAAAATGCATAGTTTCCGGTCAAGCATACAGATTTATACATTTCCATTGAGATGAAAGGGACTTACCTGATTTTGGAAAACAGAAGTTCAGGGTTTCGTTGCCTTTACTTTTATTTTCATTGATTCCTTCTTAGAAGCATGTTTGCACGGGAGTCAGAAGTCTGAACCCGAGCCTCGGGGCTGCCACTCGCACACTGTGTGGCTGCCAGCCCATCACTTCTTTTTGCTCTGAAACTCTAACATGCACTTTTGGAATAATTTGCACGTTCTTTCTTCATGGTCCTTTATGTATGGCTCTAGCCTTTGGTGCATCGCTATTGACCAAGTCTTCCTTGCCTCTTCACATATCACAAGGACGTGTGCTATGGAAGTGAAGTGATGCTGACGAGCATGGCTAGTTTATGCACACGACCCGTGGCCAGAGTACCACGGAGACACTGGACAGCCCTGTCTGGACCACCTCTGCCCTGAGGGTCAAAACAGGATCCAGCTGCTCCTGGATCCCAGTTTCACCTCCACGGATCCCTCTGTATATTGGCTTAAAATGTGACTTTCTGGGACCAGCAGTTGGCATAATGGCTATGTCGCTGGACTCCCATGTAGTCGACCGTGGTTCGAGTCCTAGACCCCATGACTTAAACTCATGCCAGGCGTGTGTGTGTGTGTGCCCAAGATGCCAAGAGGAGAATAAAGGAGAAGGGATTACAGCATGGCCATCCCCCCTGGGAGGTGATTTCTTGCTTTCTGTCTCTCTGTCTCTCTCTGTCTTTCTGGTGAGTGCACGCGCCCTATAGCGAAAACCTCTCCCAAAAAAAAGACTTTCTTCATGATAAGAGTTGTGATTTTCATTCAGTCACCAAACATGTGGTAAGCACCTTCTTCTGTGCAAGGCACCGTTTTGCACTTTATTTGAAGACTAAACTAGAAAACAAATTACTTTAGCAATGCTGTAACTGCCGGAAGTCGGTACCTCACATTAAAAACAAATTATTTTTCTTTTTTCTTTGCCATACTTCTAAAGACATCACTTCCTCGTGGTGCTATGTAATGGCAATCTGGCCACTGAGGTAAGCAGTCTTCCATCCTGCGAGCGCTGAAAGCTCATCTGCATTCTTTTGAGAGCTTAGGGTCATTTAGGAGCAACCTCCGGGCTCTGGACAGTGCACTGGCCAGCCCCTTCTCATGCCAGGCGTGTGTGTGTGTGTGCCCAAGATGCCAAGAGGAGAATAAAGGAGAAGGGATTACAGCATGGCCATCCCCCCTGGGAGGTGATTTCTTGCTTTCTGTCTCTCTGTCTCTCTCTGTCTTTCTGGTGAGTGCACGCGCCCTATAGCGAAAACCTCTCCCAAAAAAAAGACTTTCTTCATGATAAGAGTTGTGATTTTCATTCAGTCACCAAACATGTGGTAAGCACCTTCTTCTGTGCAAGGCACCGTTTTGCACTTTATTTGAAGACTAAACTAGAAAACAAATTACTTTAGCAATGCTGTAACTGCCGGAAGTCGGTACCTCACATTAAAAACAAATTATTTTTCTTTTTTCTTTGCCATACTTCTAAAGACATCACTTCCTCGTGGTGCTATGTAATGGCAATCTGGCCACTGAGGTAAGCAGTCTTCCATCCTGCGAGCGCTGAAAGCTCATCTGCATTCTTTTGAGAGCTTAGGGTCATTTAGGAGCAACCTCCGGGCTCTGGACAGTGCACTGGCCAGCCCCTTTCTTCCTTCTCACTCTGGGAAGTAACAGAAACACTCTCCTTGCCACAGGCACTCCCAGACAGAAAGGGCAGCCTGGGCAAGGAGACTTGCAAAACCAGTGACACCGATGGTTCCGAGACGCGAGTTCGGACCCCATGCCACGACCCTGGACACATGACTGTCTCCTCCCGTGGCAACAGTGAAACTTCACCACACGTCCACATCTTAGGCGCTTAGAAAACACATTATTTATAATATCTTATTGCACAAGGACACTGGAGGACTACATTCATTTTTGGAAAATATTTATTAAAAAACTAAAGTGAATTGTGGCAAAACAAAACCAAATCCAAACATACTTTTAAATAGCAAGCAGATGAGATTGGTTATAAAGCTTTTCCAATGCTACTGATTCAATCTTTCACGCCTATAGTCAGGGAGGGCTTCCGAGAGAAGCCTGTGTAAACAGGGGGTCTGTACTAGTGGTGAGCAAAAACTAATGACGTGAGTCTGATCAACGGTCACGTGGCTTGCTCTCCTAGGCAGTCCACGCAGACACAAGAGTGACCAATCTCAGGAGCGTGTTCAGTGGATCTACAGTTCTAGTTTTCATTTGAGGGTTGGGGAAGAGAAGATGGGGGGCGGGAATGAAACAGTGGAAAGACAAACAGTATCAATAGAGGGCAATCTTAAAGCACCTTTAAAATCTGGACCCTTTCCCACCATTTAACCCAATAATTCTCGAACTTCACTGTTGAAAAGAATCAGCTGGTGATTGGTTAGATTCTGGCTCCCTGTATCTGCAGGTTTAAGACGAGACTTTAGGTGACTCTGCACATCCTGGTCAGCCACCCAGTTAGAAAAACACTTTAAAAATGGATGAACATAATTTCTAACCCCTGAAAACAAAAGTAAAGAAATGTGCTGACAGTCACTGCGCTGCTGTCAACGTCAAGGGACTGGGCGGGCAGGAGCCTCCACCATCTCACACACTGGTCTACAGGAGCCCTGCGCACCCTGTCAAGTGTCGCCAGGAAGTAAATAACATTTAATAATAGAGCCGATTTGAGATCACAGAACAGCTTCCCATTACTAGCAAGCCAGCCCCATTCATCTCCGTTTAATAAACTCTGTTGGTTCGATGCCAGATGAGAAGCTGTTGTTCAAATAAAATGCGGGGTAATTGTGGGTCCTCGCTTGTGAAGACATATTGAATAAAAGAACTGTAAAAACCTTTATTAAACATAGAGTGCTATGTCCGAATCACCTTGACGGTTTACGAAAGCCACATGGTGTGTCATGGACAACATGTAGAAATAGTCACATTGATTCCAAGGTTCCCGTTATCCGCAAAAAGATGTGCTATGGCTGTATCAAAAACAAGGCAGTCGCTGTTCATGATGGCCGCGGCCACGCCGTCGTGGATGGACCGGGGTGTGGCCTCCCAGGTCAGCCTCCGCCGGTTCCCGTTCAGCTCCAGTCTGTAGGCAAAGTTCTCGGCTTGCTTGCGGGTGCCGATGAGCAGGACGATGGCGAAGAACTGCTGGTGGCCTTCGTACTTCTCCTGCTTCTCCAGCACCAGCATGAAGTGGTGGCCAAAACACGACTGCATCATCACCCAGTCGACAGCCCCCGGCAGGTTAATGTCCGTAGCTAGAAAGACGATGTCTTCTCCCTGGAGGGTGGTGATGCTCTTGTGGGCGTGCATGAGGTGGGACATCACGGCTTCCAGGGACCCCTGCCACTTGCAGGAAGCCCCAGGACAAGGGCAGGAGTAGGGACGGTATTCACAGACATCTTCGTGTTCTGGCTTTTCCGTGTGGTGCAGAGTCAGGGAACAGCCCGTGGTGGCATACTGCAGGGACAAAAGGGACACACAGAGCCATCAGGCCTTCTCCGAACTCCGACTGAAGCCAACCTCCTCTGGTATTTCCCCACTCAGGTTTCCCGGGCTCCACCTGCATTCTTATCTTAACCATGATGAATGAAATGCAGTATTTAAGACTAAAAGATGTATTCATCTTCAATACTGTCACGAATAAAATCAAAGGCATTTCCTCAACCAGAAATATACAACTTTCTATACCCACGCCCATTTCACATTGTTAAAAAGATGAGTACTAAAGTTCCCTTCCTGTAAACATCTCAAACAAACTAAACTGCTGAGCAAGACACCCTTATAAAAACATCCCCTTATCTTCTATGAACTTTTTTTTTTTTTTTTAAGAATTCAGTTGCAGGGCCAGCAGGTGGCATGGTGGTTAAGGTGCTGGACTCCCACATGTCCAATTACAGTCGAGTTCCGGACCTGGCGGCTTGCTTTCTCATTCTTCCTTTCTCTCTGTCTGTCAACTCTCTCATCAAAATCGAAGAATAATAACAAAATTAAAAATAAGTGAATCTTTAAGTCTTTAAGAATTTAGTTCCTTAGGGGTAGGGTTGTATATTGCACGACCTTCAGACTAGTTTTCACATAGGGACTGTTTTGAAAATGCTATGCTTTTCTGTTCCTTTCTACCCATTCCTGGCTGGACCGGTGACTGGCAGGTGGGCTGTGGGGAGGGCTTTGGTTTCTTGCTCTTGACTGCCAGAGGGACCAGGCGAGGGCAGAAGGCTGGCGACCCCTTCACTATATGGCTTTGTCTTCTCTGTTAATGTTTTCCCCGGGGAGCTTTGCCCTTACTTTTTAGGAGGAAGGAAATCACATCCCAGAGCTAGACTTGACTCCAAAGACTGCTTGTCCATTTGGTTCTGGACAAGGGGGTTATGATGAGAAGGGGCTGACCTCCTCTCAAAGCTGCCGTGCTGTCCCCAGGCCACTTCCTCAAGGTCAGTGCCCATCTCTTTATGCCCAGGTATGTGAGGTGTTCATGACAGGCCCGGAGAATGGGAACTGGACACATTTTCCAGCATGGCCAGCCTGCCCCTCAGGCACTGCCGTAATGGGGGAGAAGCACAGCCTTTCCCTCCCGTGCACTCAATTTGACATTCCTGATGGGTACATCACCTATCACGGCAAAATACCACAGCAGAGGGAATCCGAGGTCCGCTCCGACTCTCCCAGGAATGCCGGCGTTCATTCCTAGATACCAGACGAGAACCGCCCGCAAGCAGGCACTTGCCCAGGGTACTGAGCTGTGGTGCAGAATTAAGAAACCCGAGCAGCCTGGCAGGTAAGCTGACTTCCCACCAGGCCCCTTCCCCCACCTCCACCTCCACTGAGACACGAAGGCACCAAACAAGGGCAAGGCCATCTCATTTTCCCAAGATGTGTCAAAGTTATAAAAAAAAACAAACAAACCCAAACAACCCACAGCTGGTTTTGCTTTACCCTAGCCTGCCTTATAGAAGAAGCCCCTTATAAACTTTAAGTAAGTCAAATTCTACTGTTTACAGATGAATTTATCACTAGCAACAGACACAGAACCCCTTCCCCGTTGGAGCGCTCAGTAAGCCAAGGTGCTGGCCTCCTCTCCTGGGGAGATCATCCCCGCTCTTCAGGAAGGAGGTGGTGTAAAGAAAGAAATGCAGCTCACTCCCCACCCTTTAAAGTGGATTATACCCTTCAATAGAAATTGGCAGGAATAATTCACTGTTCCTTTTCTCAGTAATTACTAGTTTATCTTTTCAAACCCTGGCCTAATTTTAAAAGCTTGGGTGTGCAATAATTTAATCAGGAGTGGAGGCAAATTTATTTACGCATGTATATTTATACTTTGTGTTCCTAAGCTTTTAAGGCCTGAAAAAACAAGTCCCTATGAACTATGTTCTAGCTCTAGGGTGTGGCTAGGGAATACAGAGCCTCCTGCTGTTCTTCTGACAGTGAGGAGGGAGGTATTTCTGTCCAGAGTTTAAAAACACACATACACAATAAAAATAGCAGGACCTAGCCCACAGGCCGGCATATTCTCTGGCTGAAACAAGCCCTCAATATCTGGGTCTGAAGACGTCTCAGAAAGGGCTGTTTACAGCTGGCAGGGAATGACCCCTGGAACAGATGGACCGTGGTGCAGGCCATTCCAACAAGTACGACCCGTGCCTCTTCCCAAAGCCCCAAGCCACTGCGTGTTCACGAACTCAGTATTTATGAGGACTCTCTATCACTAACTACCATTTTAGACCGTCTCCCACTCAAGTAGGAATGCTTGTGTTCTGACCATCTGATTTGGTTTGTAACTCTCACATTCGACTCTCCCTTCAACAAAAACACAGAGAGAGGGAACCTCCTAAACCACACACAGAGAAAAGGCATTACTTTGCATGTGTGTGGACAACGATCTTACAATCTTACGAGGAAAGATCTTGCCACAGCCTCTATTCACTAAAATAAATATATTTTTGAAGTCTTACTCTGTTTTTTTTCCAAACAAACGGAACTTCAATGCCAACCTAGTCCTCTTTCCATCTGAGTAAGGATGCGTCTTTGTGACCCCTGTTGCCACCTTATCGTACGGATTAGAGATGATCTCTACAAAGATCAAAACTCGGGACCAGCAGAGGTGTGGTGGTTAGGGTGCTGGAGTCCCACATGGCAGACTGATTCGAGTCCTGGATTGAGTGGTTTGAAAATCATGTTGAGCATGTGTGCATGTATGCCCCAAATCCTGAGAGGAGATTGGAGGAGAAGGGACTGGGACATGGCCATCCCCACTGGGACGGGGAGGGGGGGGTGACTTCTCACTTTTTCTCTCTGTCTCTCTCCAGCGAGCGCATATACCCTATGGCAAAAACCAGGGTGGGGGGAGGGTGGAATGGGGAAGACCTAAACTTCGCACAAACACACACACATCTGTGCCAGTTTTTCATACTTTTAACCATCTCGGCATTGCTCCGGAATGACATCCCAGAGCGTGATGGGTGTTCTTGTCACTTACATCAAGGGTTCCCATCCAGGGATCAGAGAGGGCTCCAGGGGTCTGCGAATTCCCAGGGACTACGTGTAAAATTACCCAGGTGCCTCTAAGCAGCACGTCCAAGCTCACCAGCCCCTGGCCGTGGGTTTGTGATTCTTGAAGAGCTCCGTGGGTTTCCGAGGGTGGCCAGGGCTGCACGCCCCTGTCCTAGAACTCACACACAGGTGGCTGGCAGATCCTCGCTTACTGTGGAGGCCACTCATGGAGCAGCCAACTCAGATACCTCAGAACACAGACAACCGTGCCAAAGACAACCAGGAGGGCAGCAGGTGATGTTCGAGGAGGGACAGGTGAGGAGGAAGGTGTAAGGACAGCCAAAGGCAGATGAAGGAACTTTGATGAAGTGGTCCACCTGGTTCTGGCACGGAATGTGGAGAAGACAGGTCCAGGGCTGTCTGACCATTCTGCTTATTTTCTGGGTTTCTCTACGGTGGCACCACTGGCATTCTGGACCAGGCAGTTCTGTGTGTGGGGCTGTGCTGTGCACTGAGGGTATTCAGTAGCGTCCCTGGCCTCTGTTCACTAGATGCCGGTAGCGACCGCCCCCTGCTCCTCAGTTGTGACAACCAGAAATGTCTCCTGGCATGGCCAGATGTCTCCAAGGACGCAAAATCACCCTGGCTGAGAACCACAGACTCTGATGAATGGCCACACCGGCTTCCAAACAGCCACACTCACAGCTGTGTGCAGGGGCCCAGGCAGCAAGCAGGGCCAACAGGTCACCAACCCTCCCAAAGGGAGCTCGGAACGCCAGCTCTGACTCACACCTACAACCTGGCCGCCTACGTGGAGGCAGACCAGAGACTGACTCTACCCTTTTCACAGCTGAGAAACGAGGCTTCAGAGCATGACTGACTGGTCAAGGCGAGCGGTCACTGGCAGGCCCACCCAGGGAGGAGGGCCCTGCGTCTCTGCCCTGCCGCACAGTGCTCTTTCATGCACCACAGCTTGGGGTGGAAGAATCAATGTTTTGAGAAAAAGAAACAGAAATAATTTATATCTGCCTTTGCCCTCAGGCCTCTAACCCAGCACACACCAAACCCGGAATCCACAGACACGATGCTTTTTGGAAGCAGGTTCTAATATTAACTTCTTCCTCGGTTTGCAAAGAGAAAAACAGCCCCCAAAGCACCACTCCCTAAGGAACCAGGCAGCAACACCTCACGTATTAGTAACCAGGAGGGTGGCCCCCGCAGACTTCTTGGGCATCTGGCAAGAGAGTCCTCAAGTTTCACTTCTCACACTCTGGTGAGGGCTTGCCCCACCAATGTGAAGTGGTCGAAGGATCTCTGTTTGGATTAGGAAGGGCTTGTTACCAAGAGAAAGCACCTGTGGGTTGGTTTGCAGAAGCTGTGTGTATGTGTTCTGGGACATGTCCACAGCTATAAATGAGATTTCTCCCTAGGGAAATATCTGCTCATTGCCCCGGGGGGGATTAGTATTAAGTAAACCTTTCTAAAGCAAAACCACACACACACACACACACACACAGACAAGACCAAAGCTAAGGCAGAATGTAGGGTCGGGGGAGATAGTTCGGCAGGATGAGAAACAAAGAAATGTGGAGATCACATTTCTGACTTCTCTTTACAAACTTTTCATGTTGCAATGACTCCAAACTCTTGTGCAAACGTGTCCTGTCATTGAAGGCCAATGTGTCACCTGGTACCTGGCTTTTAAGTCTTTGTAGAGAGTAGTAAATAGTTTCCATTCTTTTCCGAGGCACGGGGTTTAAAGGTTGCATTTTAAGTTGGAATGAGACAGTTTTAAAAAATTTCTCCTTTTGGCATAGAAGCCCCTCATGCACAGATGCACACCCCGAGGTGCGTCAGAACAGAGTCAAACACTGGGCACCTGTTATTTACCTAATAAACCGTCACATTGCATTTGTTTATAAAATGAGTTGATAAGCAAAATAACCCTTCCTCGCTGGGTGCGAGTA